GCAGACAATCCGGTATACCACAAAGTCCACAGTAAAGGAAGCAAAGCTTGTTTACCATATTGTTGAACGTTTCATAAAAAAGTCTATATTTGTTTTTAAATTCATTCATATTTATATTCAACCATTTTATAAAGTTTGTCAAAATAATTAAACACGTGTCATTTGTAATGTTTATTACTGGTCTAGGGGAGATAATAATCATCAACAGATTTAAGCAACTGAATAACTTCCCATTAATAACCCTTCTAGCGTCAGCGGGAAGTGTTTACCGAATGATAATCATTCCGGTGATAGTGAAAGGATACTTGGGTATATTTTTGAAAGACTGTAAATGTCCATCTCGGGAAAAAAACTTATATGAAAAATAAAATCTCTGGAATCAGGTGAACAAGTAGGCGACATAAAAATAGAATTCTACGCGATTATTTTACGATAAATGTTAATATTTTGAACACTTCATATTGCAAAATTTATAATATAAAAAAAAACACAGAACAAATGTCTCTTGACTTAGATTGACATTTGTTCTATTTTGTATCTTCTTTTACCTTGGAAATCATCTGTTGTTTAGTATATTATTTAACTTGAGTAATTTGAACTTTTTCATGCTGACGTCGTTTATAGATGTTACAAAAGAATTTTAGCCTTCCTGATATAACAACGTTCACAGCAAAAGTTATTTTAACCAGATTGTTCTGTTTAAGCATGTTATATTATGTATGTGAATATTCAAGTTATGTCGTAAAGAATGTCAAATGTTTCAAGTGGCATTTGTAATGTTCGATAATGGTCAATGGGAGATAATCATCAATCGACAGATGTTTTGCGACTGGATTATTTCCCATTAGTTAAGCGTCCTGGTTAGTGTTTTCCTCGTCGACATAGAAAAAAATGTTTTAACCGTTCGGGAATGTGTATTGGAAGATCGTCAGTGTCTACCTAACAGTCTTATGTTAAAAGTCAGAATCTCTGAAATCTGAGGGAACAATTGGATTTGCTACGACGGCAACATTAGTAGTTAAGCCGAAAACACAGGGATGAAATGATTTAAAGTACTTTAGAACAATAATATTAAAGAAAACATTATACGCGATCCCTTAAAGGCGTATGCAATCATATGAATATTTACAGAAAGTAAAAACTATTGTGTTAAACTTAAGTAATGCGAAGTTTGTCAATAGGGATATCAAGTCACAGCATACGGCTAAATGTGAAAAGTGCTACCAACCATTTAACGCTTTAATGTTCTAACAAATCAGAATGATTTTTTTCCGATTAACGTTATTCTGATAATGGTCTTACCGGTGTTGCATATGGAAACACCTCCGAAAACCAAACTAATGCTCGGAGAGAAAATAAAAGATAGATGTCGCAAGGTTTCTATTAGGGCTGTATTCCGCAACACAGGCAACATTATAGAAAACACCCGATCCTGCCCCCTCCCCCACCGCCTAAATCTCTCCAAAGATAGATCGCATTTTACTGCCATAAGTTTCACAGGCATACGAGCCAATAAAAACGGAATCTGGAGGTATACAAGGTCATAAAGAAAGCACTTTTAATCTACCCCGACAAAAAAAAAACAGCGTACAAAGCGAAGAGAGGAAGCATTGGCTTTCGAAGCAAAATGTAGTATTATCACATTTTAGTCATCTATAAGGCCACTAGTTCGTTAGAAAGATGAGGAGGATTTAGATAGTCATCATGTTTGCTTATGTGATTTGTATTATTCAGATACAGTTTAAACCAAATGATACCGCATTTTCCTGGACCAAAGAACAATCCGCTTCGTTAAGCTTGAAGTGTTATTCAAAGGTTTAATAGGCAGGGTCATGTATAATGACGGGTACCTAGGGAGATAACGTCGTAAAGGGAGATGATTGGTGGGTCAGAGAGAAAAGAGCATGCGCAAGTTAGTACCACTTGAAATAATATTGTATATCGTAGTTGCGACCGCTCTATCTCGTTATTACGAGCTTCGTAGAATTATATATGTTTTGGTGCAAAAATGTGTTTTTTTTCCCCTTCGTCATATTTTAATCATTAATTGCAAATCAAGATGTCGGTTTCCGAAATATATTTTGGTAAAAGGCGTAGTACAAAGGATACCTTCATATTAAATGAAGACGTACGTAGATGAAATATTTTTTACAGAATTTTTAAGTCCATCACATAAGCTTATTGTTTCTACAATGATTTTTTTTTAAATACACGTAATCTGCAGCTAGCAGTTAGTGGTTGTCTGGGTTACGGAGATCATGATGACGGTCATTTCTTTTTGAAGGAAGCAATTAAAGAAGATTATCTGGAAAAAAATCTATTGTGAATCTTATACAAAGTATATAAATTAGAAAACCGGTACTTTTCTCACCTACATTTTAAAGGTAACCATCCAGTTTCAAGGAAATACCAAGGAAAGAACGTACACCGTTCTGACAGCTTATATTTGCACCTTTTCCAAGGCAATTTGACAGTTCATCAGATCAACCATCCCATACACAGCTATAGGATGCATATTTTATAATATGACGCTTAGTTTGGATGAGGCTTAATGAAACTTACTAGCTTTTTTCTAATCACTAGCACTAATAGTAGCCTAATAATAGAAGCCAGAATTAGGTAAAACGGCAAAAAATACTTGGTATGATTTAAAGTAAACTTTTTTTTTTATTGGACGTTTTTGTGTTTATGTTGTTGTTTTTTGTTCTTTTTGCTCATTTCTCCTAGAATATCACAACGCCAAGGGTGTGTGGTTTAATTCAGTCTGTTTCATGTTCCGAGAATTTTTTTTACTCGCTGTCAGTTGTCACATTATTTTGTATCTTTGTTGTGACTTTTCAATATGATAACGCTACAAAACCCAGATAGCAGACACACGTTGGCCCAATGCATCAGTGTTGGTTGGGCCATCGTTGGAAAATGACGTTGGGCCAACATTGTTTTGCAAATCGGCCCAATGTTGGACCAGCATGATGGACCAACGTTGGCCCAACGACTTTGGGCCAACTACTTGATGTTGATACAACGTCGGGCCAACGTTGTGCCAACTATAAAACTATGTTGGGTCAACGTTGGGCCATCGTTACACCAACGAACAAAGTTTGCTGGACCAACGTTGGTACAATAATGTATTTTAGTGTTTTGTTTGTAGTGGGCTTTCCGTCCTATTAACAGCTAAGTTTTTTAAGGACGATGTCAGGATAGACTAAACTTGAGAAAAGACAGAAAGAAAGAATATGGGAAAAGAGGGAAATGAGAAATGAATAAAATGTTGGTGTCTGATAATAAGAAAACAAACAGTGATTTATATTATATCATATCCATCCATTTTATTTTCTACTCAGGCTGATTGTTAGCCAATGCCACCAGCGCCGCATCTTTCTGCCTGTTGATTTCCTCCTTTTTGTGACACTAAAAGTAGGGTAATATTATTACAACATTGCGTGATATTGTAGATATAATTTTGAAAATAAGAAATCCATATTACAATGATGTCCATAACTGGTTCGACATCTACGTCTTTAATTTGTAGTTTATAGAAAATAAAGAAAAGAAATACTTTCAATTAAGTTATTACCAAATATTGTGTATTTAATACCAGTTGATTAGTGCTTGATGGCCGAGTGTAATTATTTTTTTATGCAATTATTATTTCACATAGACAATGATGGAAGTGGGCCAGCGTTGGCCCAACACATGGGACTTAATTGTTAGATTTACTACGTGCAGCCAACGTTGACCCATCACATGAAAATTAACGGTTGGTCCAACAGCATTAAGCCAACGCCGACGTAAGGCAAACCAAACGACCAACAGTCAACGTTGGCCCAACGTATGTCTGCTATCTGGGAATTACTATTGAGTGTCTTCACACATACCGCTCCGGGTCCTCCTTATCTCGAAAACATTGACATGCACAGATAATAATATAAATACAACTATAGAAAAAAGAACACTAGGTTATTATTTTACTGGATATCAAGTTTTATTAAAGTAGAATGCGAAGTCGCTAAAATATCTTGATTTTTTTTGCCTTTGACTGTAGTTTAATTATTTGCACCAGGGACGTCTGACTCTCTGCAATCCAGCATGTTGATACTTTATTGATGCGAATGTAAACATAACTGCGTTAAAATATGAATTATCTCAATTTAATGTGGTGACTTATTCTTAACTTGAATCAATAATGCTCAACAAAATTGAATTATAGTGGATGCTTTCGTGAAAAACGATGAGTTTTTGTGTCAAGAGTTGTCGGTCCTTAGTTTCATTTCTCTCCGTTGAGGGCGGGAGAAGTATTGATGGAAGACTGTTTACGTGCAGTACACATGTAGTCGCCAAGTTGACCTGAGTTTGCGATGGATTTTTCGGCTCTTAGTTCCGAATTGCAAAACATTGCAGGGAGATACAATGGACGAGACACCGATCCTGCCTATTCCACCACAATGTATTGTGAAATGTTCCACAAGGTAGGTGTAAAGTGCTCCAGAAGTAGGTAGGGGGCTCCTACGATCGGCCATCATTCTTACATTTTATGACATTGCGGCCTTGCAGTTTGGCACGTATGACATGTAAAACTGGACGATAACAATCTTCTTTATTGAGAGGCATTCAACTGGGTAATCGGTGTTATGTGTTAAGCTCACACGATGTACTGTCATATGGCATTCGACGTAATAAAATCGTTTATCACTTCGATGTCCTGGTGGAAAAGGAAATTAGGGCACGGGGCACTTCGAATTCACGAATTAAATGCTCAAAGTAGCCTCAAGTGTCTTGCATGGCATGTGCATCCTACTTTGACATATTTTATTATATCAATGAAAAATGCTTGTGCTAGACACGCTTTTGATTCAAATATATTAAAATGAGTTCAAATTATAAATGGTGGAAATTCTTGAAACAGACGCTTGCTATGAGCAGCACCCACACAATACACAGCACATAGACGTCGATACACACGACACAACACACAGCTGCACTGTACATTGACTGTGGTATGCATGTGTGTTCTGTACGACTCTGGGTCGGTGTTAGATGGCATAGTGAGGCATATTGTAAACCGACACTGTAACGAATACAATGTACAGCCTACAGGACAAAAGGGCTTCAATCATTTTCAGATTTTGCATGTGAATATTATGTAAATTTCAAACGTGATTGAAATTTAATGAGTACTTTCACAAGGCCTTTCATATTTTTGGATTTCATTTTTAATTGACTTTTCATTTAATATCGTGAATCAATTAATTTCCTATTTTCAAAATATAAATTTAAAAATAGCAGTTTTTACTTAATAAATTCCCGAATAGTTATTTATCAGTAAGATTTTAGAAGAAAAGCAATATATATTTATATGTTGAGAAATTGCTTTTATTTAGTAAAAACAATTCAGTTTAATCTGTTATTATTGAACAAATAATAAAATACATGTTGTTCAAAGTTTTAATTTATTTTAATTCTCATTGATCTCATTGTTTTTCTTTGCATTTGTTAATAATTTGTAAGATAAAATCTGTTTGTCAGACTCGGTGAAACAATAAAATATACAGGTAGGCCTATATTTTTTTATTTTTTTTTAGTCAGAATGAAAGGACTCATCTAGCTCATATGACTGTAAATGTAGTACCATCAGGATTACTGTATACATTAATGCATGTCAACAGATTATGAAATATATTGGTCTTGGCAGCACTTAGTAATTCGGTTGAATAAATGTGCTTTAAGTCACATGTACAGTATATAGCCAGCTGGCACAAATTGAAAGTGTTTTACATGTGTATAAGTGACTAGGATGCACGATTGCATCATGTTTCATGAAAAAGCAGTGTGTTGCATCCTAAAACTAGGTCACTGCCCTCAATTTCACCTTTGACCTTGACAAACTTCAGTGTAATTCAGGTTTCTCTAGCTTATCTTTACCATGGTTTTATGAATGGGCTTTAAACTTTGTAGATATGTGGGGCAGTGGGGGTATCCGTGAAGGCTAAAGCCCATCGCATGCATGCTTTAAGTTTGATCTATTTAAATGTTATTTTTCAATTTCCATGTATATGTATTTTTGACAACCTCAGAAAAATACCTGTCAGTCTGCCTTGTGTTACAGATTAAGTACTTCAACGTGGCGATAAACTTAGTACTCATTTATGTCATGGTTTGAGAGTCCAATGCTGATTTTGGAGGTTTTTACTATCCTAACTAATTATAAGTTAAAAACATTAAAAAAATGTTTTAAAGATATTCTTAATTTAAACATCCTAAAATAAATCAGCTTCTAAATACATGTATTTCTAAGCCCCATATCTATATTGATAAACCTTTTCATAAAGTTATTATGAAATATTGCAAGTGGACGGGGCCAAAATTTTACCAGTATTTATTTATCAATAGATTTAAAAAAAAAATCATTATTGAAAGAGGTTGCATGGGGTGAAACTTTGTATCAGATATTTTGCCAGTTTTTTGGGGGGAATTTTGAAAATAGTATGGGTAATTTGACTCATTAATTTAATAGTATTTGTATAAGAAGTAACAATTTTTTCAGTTTTAAGACTTTCATTCGTGAATCAATCAGTTCTGTGGAACAACGTTTGATCTACAATCATGTTTTGCTGTGAAAATTCCTCTTTGATACTTAACACTACTGGATTTTGGATTATCAACAAAATCTGTAAATAATATCTTTTGTACATGTAACATTCATTTAAAGGTACTGTTATGCGCTATGCATTCAACATTACCAGATCTTTCAGAGGTACCGCCAGTCAGTGTTTTACTTTCATTATGATTTAATTTCAGGAAAAACTGCATGTTATCTCATTTTGTTAGTTATAGCAGCACAATCTCCAGGTCAAAGTTTTTCTGTTGACAACTTTTGCTGAAAGATGGATGAAAGGTCTAGAAAAATACTGTATTCTATTTTAGAATCTAATAACATCCTGGATGTGACAGGAAGAACTACCAGTCTATAAATGAACATTACAGATGCATGCATGCAAGTTAGTCAAAAAGGGTAATTAGCAGAGTTTATATGATTTGATAGGAGTTTACATGGGTGTATGTATTTAGCTCCCTGATATCGCTATTTACCATACTTTACTGTAATCTTTGCTAAGTCTGCTGGTCATCACTAGCAGACTGGTGTAAGTTTCTAACCCCTGAAGTCTACTATGTGCAGAGTTCTAACCACTCTACATCTATTAAAGTACCCACACTTGGTAGAGACACCCACTTGCATACACTTGTCACATTACTATAATTATGGAGGCTCCATATACCCTATTAATGAGCACAATTACTCCAACAGTACAGGCAATCTTGTAACTCTTCATATATATTTCTTAATTGATTTGTAGTGTAAACCATGATTTAAGTTAAGGGGTAAAATTTTACTTTATTTTGATAGAGAAATTGAGTTTGGTGCTGTAGTTTCACTAATTTGAAGATTGTGGGTTAGTAAAAGGGTATCAGTTAATAATAGACATTAATCTTTTTTTAAATTATGATTGAAATAACATTAACATTTTACAGTTCTTAGATCTATGTACACATTTACAAATAACCACGTTAAAGATATTGTTTCCATTGTTTTCATGAGTATTTATTCATTTATGTGTTTTTGTGTAAAAACAAATGTCTGGCCGTGGGAACAATGGATTGCTCACAATACTTTTCCTAGTTTACAACAGATAAATGTTTTACTTCATGTGAAAAACACTCAAGGTGGTTAGAGACATAAAATCCATTTTAAGTTGAAAATCTGATGTAATTTAGATGATGACTGCATTGGATGCCTGTATTATACAAACGTACAAAGCTCTGCTCCGTCGGAATTCATTTATGTCAAAAAGGTGTTCACTTACCTGTTATTTTCATGTATTTATAAGTATATATTTTGATATTGATCTTGTACTGGAAGACTTCATTTCGAGTAAATACAGACTTAACTATATATATATCCTAAATTTTAATGCCATACCTGTGAAAAAGTTGTTTAGCCATCTTGCTAAGTTTTGATCAGAGATGTCCTTTTGTGCAATGTATTTTCTTGTGAAAGTTATAAAAAAAGGATGGAGTGTTATTGCATTATAATGGATTTATTGCAAAAACTAAAAAAATGAAAAATAGCTAAGACATGAATTACATTAACATATAAAAAAGAAATTGTGGTAAGGGGTTAATATTTGTTTGCATATGTGCAACAGTATACCTCAAGTTTCAATTTATATTTAAAGGAGCTTGAAGATATAAACTTAAAGCTTGTGCAGTAATTACTTTTCCATTATTTGGTGTCAGTTGCCGATGGCAAGGAATGTAGATCACCATTGTGACAGCATGATGAAACGTCGTCTAATTTGACAACATACAGAAATAGTAAAGGTCACTTAGTGTGTCCATATATATATGAGATACATATACATGGCACATGCATAGCTTACATACACAGAGGTGGGAGAAAAAATGTCACTTGATACACTACACATGAGATATATTCAATACCAATTAATTCATATCTAAATACAATACATTTATAAACTATTTCATTGGTATAAGTCAGCACAAAAAACAATTTTATGTAGAAAAAAATATGAAGTGGAATAAAACAATAACCACATGTGTACAATGTTGTATTTTGATTATTAGTCTAGAATTCTACAAGTCTGACCTATATTTTCATAGCAAATATTTAAAAATTTGCTTGTCCTGACATATAATCTGTTACCCTTAGGCGTTCAGTTTTTGTAAGCCCCAGGTAACACTTTAAAATGAGTGAAAAGTTTTAAATGAAATTGCATTAATTAGCCATAAGATAATAATGGTTTGCTATCATCTTCATGTGGTGCATTTTTTTTGTCTGTCAGTCGAGTGTTGAGGATGATTCAGCTGTGATTCAAATGAATAGGAAATGACTTCTATTACCTGTTTAATTCATTCACCCCTGAATATACATTTGAACTCTTCCAATTCAAAGGTTGGAATTATTCATTCTGAAATTTCAGGGGTGAATGAGTTCAAGCGTCAGAACCATTACCTTATGCACATCACAAATATGTATATATATGTAATTCACCGTCAATACCAAACCAAAACGTGTTAAGTTGTATTGCCTAAACTTAAAAACAGTACAAATGACATTATATCATTTATAACACCATGAACAAACTATGTAAACTCCTGAATTTAACTTGGGTAATTGTATATTTGTACACATTATTGTTGCATTTATAAGCATGTGTTGAATCTTTTCAACATTTATGGAAGTTATGCAAATATAATGAACTTAAGTTATTTGATTTATCGTGAATATCTTATCTAAGAAAACTGTTTTTATAGATGCATCAGTGAAATATTATACCTCCATTTTTGTACCATGTGAGTATAAATGTTAGAATCTTTTAATAGTCCTATATATATATGTTTGTGTTCAGGTACTTTTTGTTGTATTATTGCTTCATAGTGACTGTTTATCTCTGTTAAATGTTGTAGTATGTAAGGGTTCATGTTTCTGTCTAGAAAAAGGGGCGGATTGCCCTGAAATTTGTACAATTTCTTTGTTTGAATTGTCGTTATTACTTCTTTGTCCATGTATTATATGAATAGATGTTTTGATATATTTTTCAGTATTTCCCTCATGTTAACTAATGACTCATTAATGGCATTTGTAGTGTAATTGAGAAACCTGATCATTATTTCATTTTTAGCTCACCTGGCACGAAGTGCCAAGTGAGCTTATGTCGTGGCGCGACGTCCGTCGTCCGTCCGTCCGTCCTCGTCCGTCAACTTCTTCTGAAGAACGGACAGGCCTAGAGTCATGATATTTGGCTGAAAGCTTCGTTGGTAGGAGCCCTACAAAGTTTGAGAACGAAAATGACCTTGACCTGTTTTCAAGGTCACAGGGGTCAAATATGTCAAAAACTTCAAACGACTTCTTCTAAAGAACTAAAAGGTATAGAATCTTCATATTTGGCTGATGGCTTCCTGGGATAGAGCCCAACAAAGTTTGAGAATGAAAATGACCTTGACCTACTTTCAAGGTCACAGGGGTCAAATGTGTCAAACACTTCAAACGACTTCTTCTGAAGAACTGAAAGGTATAGAATCTTTATATTTGGCTGGTGGCTTCCTGGGATAGAGACCAACAAAGTTTGAGAATGAAAATTAGTTTGACCTACTTTCAAGGTCACAGGGGTCAAATATGTCAAAAACTTCAAACGACTTCTTCTGAAGAATTAAAAGGTATAGAATCTTCATATTTGGCTGATGGCTTCCTTGGATGGAGCCCAACAAAGTTTGAGAATGAAAATTACCTTGACCTTCTTTCAAGGTCACAGGGGTCAAATGTGTCAAACACTTCAAACGACTTCTTCTGAAGAACTGAAAGGTATATAATCTTTATATTTGGCTGGTGGCTTCCTGGGATAGAGCCCAACAAAGTTTGAGAATGAAAACTAGTTTGACCTACTTTCAAGGTCACAGGGGTCATATATGTCAAAAGCTTCAAATGACTTCTTCTGAAGAACTGAAAGGTATAGAATCTTTATTTTTGATTGATGGCTTCCTTGGATAGAGCCCGACAAAGTTTGAGAATGAAAATGACCTTGACCTTCTTTCAAGGTCACAGGAGTCAAATGTGTCAGACACTTCAAACGACTTCTTCTGAAGAACTGAAAGGTATATAATCTCTATATTTGGCTTGTAGCTTCCTAGGAAAGAGCCGAACAAAGTTTGAGAATGAAAATGACCTTGACCTTCTTTTAAGGTCACATGAGGCAGATATGTCAAACACTTTAAACGACTTCTTCTGAAGAACTGGTAGTTATAAAATCTTAATATTTGGCAGGTGGCTTCCTGGGAAAGAGCCAAACAAAGTTTGCGAATGAAAATGACCTTGACCTACTTTCAAGGTCACAGCGTTCAAATATGTCAAACAGTTCAAACAGCTTCTTCTGAAGAATTAAAAGGCATAAAATTATAATATTTGGCTGGTGACTTCCCGGGATAGAGCTCACCAAAGTTTGCAAATGAAAATGACCTCAACCTACTTTAGAGGTCACAGAGGTCAACAACATTTTAATGGATTTGTTCTTGAGAACTAAAAGGAATGGATTCATAAGATTTGGCTGGTAGCTTTTTGGAATAGAGCTAACCAATTTGAGAAGGAAAATGACATTGACCTACTTACAAGATCACAGGGAAAAATATGTCAAGCAACTTCTGAAGAAGAATCAAAAAGCATAGAATCTTATAATAATATTTTGCTGGTAGTTTCAACAGATGGAGCCAACAAAGTTTGCGAGGGAAATATTTTTAGTGCAATATAATATTTAATGAGAATATTTTGCTATGACTGCTTAAATATTCAGGTGAGCGATACAGGCCCTCTTGGGCCTCTTGTTCATTTCTAATTAACTATATCGATTGGTACTCACTCTTTGTAATGCCTACTTTGTTTATGGCATACAGCCATTACTGGGTACTTACAAGTTCCAAAATTGACAAATTGTATTATTAGTATTCATTTATATCCTCAGATCCTTCAAAAGACGGAGACTGAAGTCCATGACTATGCTGACCAAATTGTGATACTGTGGATGACCCTGTCACAGCTCTGCAACACAGCTAACACCTTGGCAGCCTGTCCAGCCAGAAATGAACTCTACCAGGACATATTCTTGTATGTACAAATATGCCCAGTGTCAAAAATACCCTTATCCTGTCATTTTGTCTTAAAATCTCATTATTTTTTCTTGTGTACAGGTACTTACATGTATATTAACAAAATGACAAAATTTGACCGATAATAAATCAAGTGTTTCACTACAATTTTCAAAATATTTTAAATTATGTAACATTGTGATACATGTTAACAGGGTTATCAGAACTTGGTTTAGGCCAGACAAAAATATACTGTTTCCTGTTATATGTCTGAAAAACAAGGGTAGGTAGGTAATAAATTTAATTTTTCTATTTTTCTTAATAAATTTACAATGGAAAGTGATCTGGACTATAGCCGTCCTTTGTTGAATATTGTCAAAAAATGTTTAGAGTAGGCACAAAAACTTAGGCTAGGTATGAGGTACCTGGAAACAAACAGTGACATGTACATGTGTCTTATTAATTGGTATTTTCATGCAGCCAAGTTATAAATTGGAGTGGGAAGCATTCATTGTGTTATTTTACAACCCAATTAACATTCCTCTATGTCTAGCTGTTTCCTTGTTATTTTCCTTGTCCCAGCTTTTACTTAAATTTTGTCAACACTTAAGATAACCGAATGAAAATTATGCAACTTCTTTATATATTGTCACATATTTTATGGTACATAATAGTGGTTTTCACTTATATTTATTATGTCCTATTAGGGATATTTCAAACCTGAATATTGAGGGGAGGCCACACAGTTATATATGGATGTTTGAGTATGAAAGGTTTTCTTTGGTTCGTGGATCAAAGATGGACTATAAAAAAATGTTTTTGATATATAGCAAAGTTTCGAAAAGGATGTATTGTGGGTTGATGACAAAAAATGTCTCCCTGTCTATTCATATCTGAAATCACCCTACAGATTTCCTGTGAAGGACATGAGAAAATTACAAAAGTATCATACTGAATGCTTTGCACCTGTAGGTGTTATTATAATTTGTTTAAGATAGATATCTTATTAGATTTTCAGGTGTACAAATACAGGTAATGTTCATTGAAAATCTTAAATGAACCCTCCTTTTTCCCCACAGACAATGCGCAAAAACTGTTCTGAACATAAAGTGGCAAAACTTGCCAGAAGAAGACCAGAGCAAGGAGAACTTTACAGAGACGGTCAAGGCTACACATGTGCAGTTAGTGACCACTGGGTTTGACCGCTTCAGTTTGCTCCTGCATCTTATGGAGAATCCTTGGACTGACCCGACTCTCAGTGAGATTATGTCTGGGGAAGCTGATAACGATGACGGTAAGCTGTGATCAGATTAGTGTTTCCACATATCAAGGTCAAGGAGATTTCCCGTAATACATTGTGTGATTTCTTAAGTGTTTCCACTGGCTAAATATTGTTACTGTAACTGTTAATATCTGCATATCTGGTGCACTCTGAATGTATAATGTGTAGGTACTTTCTGCGGGGAAAAAAGACACTGATGCAATTTTCTGTATTCAAGCCCAAAAACATTTGGCTTATACTCTCCCTAAATGTACTTGAGCTAATTTTAGATAAGCATTATAACATTTTTAAACGATATGTCTCTATAAACCTTTAAATGATATTTTGCAAAATACAAAGTTTTGCATAATATCTACCATGATTGTTGGAGTATCAATAGCGGAAACACAACAGTTATTTCTTTGGTCTCATCAAAAAATTCAAATTTTACTATACTCAGACTGTTTCTTTTTTTATTAATCGGCCATCTATTACAAATGTGATATGCTGTGACCTCCACAACACGACAGTGTACATACAAATCTTGTTCAATGCTCACTAACACCCTTATATATCTGCAATCTATTACAGCTACCTTTTTGTTTTGGAATTATTTATGGGCCAAAATTAGAAAAAAATCTGATCAAGTAACAACAAATACCCACAATACTATCCATTTACTGTTGATAAGTGCACTGCAGTCATGATCATCACAGAAAAAATCCACATGTAACAAATGAGATAGGAAACAATGGATACTATATATGTGAAATACTTAACTTGTAAATGTTCATCTGTGAGGGTTGAGTGTGGTATTAAACAGAACATGACACTGGTTAACGTTCTGTATGATGTCACTGATTAATAGTGTGGTGTTTTATATTAGATATTCTATAAGTGGTGATGTATTCACTCATTCACCCCTGAAATTTCATAATGAACTGTTCTTACCTTTGCATTGGAAGAGTTCAAATGTGTCTTCAGGGGTGAATGTGTTAAAGTGTAACACTGGTTAACACTCTGTTTCATGTCACTGACGGTTGAGTGGGATTTATTACAGACGCTGTCCAAGAGTACATCAGAAACGAGTCGACGCTTATCCTTAAACTCCGTGTCGAGATGTTGATGCAGGAGAACTGTGAGGAGTTCGCTCTCAATCTGAGCAACACTCTGATGGGTCACGAGGTGTTTGTCAAGGACATGGATCTCCGTGAGACACAACTTAAACTTTTGTACAAACTCAACCAGATGGACAAGCTGCAGGAAGTGGTAGGTCTGGCATGGGTGTTTGATAGGTTATTTAAACTAGTAGGATAAATACATGTATTTTAAAAGAAATTTGTTTTATATGTGGATGCCTGTACCACTGCCAAAACTGTTACTAAGCATTGGAAACTGTTACTTCTTGGTTGACAACGGCACTGATAAATCATTCCTGAAAAGAAATAAAGATGAAAGAACAGAACAAAATCAACAATAGTGTTCAAATTTTAAACATTCAGTCGGTCTAGAGTGGGATTCAAACCCTGGACTTCATATTGTTATTGTCGCACCGCCATGAAGAAGCGGAAGCGAGACTAAGGTGTTAATTTTCCGGTGTCGGCGCCAACATAAAGTTTTTGCATTAAAGTTAGTTTCACTGAAAGTATAAGTGCTAGACCAACTAAACTTGGACCATAGGTGCATCTTAGGGACCTTAGTGTATCTCAACCCATTCATCAAATGCTGGATGCAGCCTACCTTTCATGGTCCATTGACTTTGTCAGCATCTCCATCAACATTAAGGTTTTGCATTTAAGTTAGTTTCTCTGAAACTATAAGTGCTACACCAACCAAACTTGAAATGTGCATTGATGGTCGAAGCGGGGCACAGGCGAGACTAATAAAGTCTTTCATCCCCTTGGGGGGTGAGATAGGGGGATCTCAACCCGAGGCGGGGAGATTCTTAATTTGTCAAACACAAGGCTTTGCCGAGTGTTTGGCAACTTAAGAATCTTCCCCCGAGGGTTGAGATCCCCCTATCTCATCCCCGATGGAGTGGATGATTATTTTTCTCTTACCCTGTTGTTCCTGTCCAAGTGTAAGACGAAGCATATTGTTTGTAAACAGGAACACGTGGATAGCGTATTAATATTATACGTATGCGTCAGACGGTTCACGCATCATATTTTAAACATTTTAAAATCAATCCCATCTTCTTTGATGTCAAATGTAAACACGACAAGATTAGCAGACGAACTTCGTATGTGTGTGACCTCATAAAAGTAGTTCTTCCGGGTCACATCAGTGACGTCAGGTTTATTGTGGAGAACGTGCAAAGAGCACGTGTAGCTTGTCTCAACCCTAGGGTGAGACAAGGAAATCTCACACTGGTAAAAGTAAGGATAAACCTGTCCAGGGTAAGAGAAATATCATTCTCTTACCCTGGACAGGTGTATCCACACTTTTACTGGTGCGAGATATCCTTGTCTCACCCTAGGGTTGAGACGGGGGGATTCCCCTATTCATAACAATGGTATGACGTTACTTCAACAATACAATGACGTCACGTCAACAATCAATCAACGTACGTCAACCCTGAATTGAGCATGTAGCGTTATCATTACAGTGTGTCAATGATACACAATGTGAGAACAGGGTAAGAGAAAAAGAATCATTCACCCTCTTGTGGGTGAGATAGGGGAATTTCAACCCTAGGGGAAAAGATTCTTAAGTTGCCAAACACCCGGTATAGCCTCTGGGTGAATGATTCTATTAATCCGAATGACTTGCACTGTACTATTGCTCTAAGCAACTGAGCTAAATAGGCAGCAGAAGTGTCCTGGTCCAAGCTTGCTACAGTTATATCCACAACAAAGTTATGGGAAGGTTACTGTATATAAGAAAGAAGCTTTGGGACAGGGATCCTTAGTGCCGAGTTTATGTAAGGAATCAGGCCTCATGACTCCAGCTTTGATGGTTTCCCTTCACATTGATTACCGGATACTATTTATGATAAAGATTCATGCAAACTGCTATTTGTGATGATGGGTCATACTGTTATTGTGAAGAATGGTCATATTATTTATTTGTTGTGATTATTGGCATATTAAATATCTGAAATATAAACCCCATATACCATATATATTTGTTGACTTTCTGATAGAAAATTTACAAGGAATTATGTATTACCAAGCTAGAAAGCAGTGACAGTAGGAATCTCTTTACTTCTGCCAGGAACAATTTTGTGGAAGATTTGGCCAAGCAAAATTTGAATTACTATATAGCATTTGTAAAGGAAAAACCTTTTTGTTTGATTTTATTTCTGACTTGATATGGTTTGTATTGACAGTGTGAGAAGATTGTGTGTCATGATGGTGTGAAGTTGGTGCTGCGACTGGAACAGAAGGAAAGTAACCAGGCACTGAGTGTCCGACTCATCCAGCTGTTCCTGGTACAGGACTGGATCAAACCTGAACAGAAGTGCTGTACACAGGTTAGTTACCATGTTAGTCATGCTGTAAGCTTTGTTTTTAATGTACAGGATCAAACTATTACTATTTCATACCTGTACGTATTGAAATGACTGATTAATACACAATTTTTTCTGTTATTTCAACAAAGATAATCCATAATGGGGACACATTTTTACAAGAAACATCCTATCGAAACTCCTATTGCAGAAATGAGAACCAATTTTGGATTATTTTGTTCCTATTGCACACTAAGACCAGATGACTTGGAAGCATTTAGGGGAGACATGAAGTCAAATACAGTTTACAATATTAATGAATGTTTACAATTGATACAGTTTATTAATTGATTGTGTCACATGATTTAAGTGAATTACAAGAAAGCTAATTTGAGCACAGAATCCATGCTTGAGCATAAGAATGGTTTCATGAATCTTGGCCCTGTCTTATCTAATGTTGTTCAAATGTTTTTGCCTTAACAGCTGTTGTCATTTATTTGATCAATGAGAAATCATTATTTCTCATTGTTGACCAACATAGCATCGACTTCAGTAAAAACTAAGCTTATCTTGCTTAATAAAAGAAACTAAGTGAACAATACAGGCCATGGTGGGCTTGTGGTTATTTGATTTATTTGAACATCAGTTAGTGTCATATAACTAATCAGGTCTATCATAATGTGATAGCATTTAATTTTATCACTGCAATTTACATATTCTTTGATGCTTATATAATTAGGCTCGGCAGAGTTGTCTCTCTTGATTCAAGTAAGCAACTCATTGCATACGTTGACACCCAGTTAATTTTGAAGTACTCATTGCACAAGTATAACACATACTAAATTTTAAAATAAGTGGTCATTGAAAGGTCATATTCTTCAATGTAGATTTTTCTTAAAAGCTTATTTTACTGGCTCAATGTGGAAGAAAATGTAAGTACAATGAATGAGGTGCTTTTCTTTCCCTTTACTTTTCTTTCCCTTTATCCTCCAATGGAGTACTATTGAACCAAATTCTTATCGCTTAAGGTGTAGTCAATTGTATACTGTTAGTATTCAACTTCATAACTAGAGTACTAGCCTGTAGGCAGAGGTTGATGAATATTATTAGCCTGACGAATATTTTCATACTGAATATTAAACATTTTCACCGGTGTGAAATCTTTTAGCCCATCTTCTGGCTAGTTGAATGGTACATCCCTGTGTTAGCTTTGTAAAAGTGTAAATGATTGCAGGGCTTGAAACTACCTCATAACTACTATCAAAATGAATGTTAATTGCAAGAAAATGCTAGGGAAAGTGTACCTTACTCACAAATCTCTGCAAGTAGATTTTGCTTCTCTGAGAAAAGTACAAAACTGATAATCATCAAGATGTTGTTTGAAACATATCCTCATACAGTTGTCCTATATGTATCTTTTTGTGTATCATGAACAGTATATCTGTTCTCAGTTTTATTCGTTCAGATGTTCATTCATATTATATCTGATGACTAGAACAAAGTGCTGTGAGTGAATTCATGACTTTCTAGCAGCTGACATTGTTAGCTTCAACCCCTGGATTATTGCTTTAATGGGATATAAGGATAAATAGACTCTTCCCCAATCATCAGGGTGTTGTAACAGAGAAATCTCCAACTTACTGAGTGTTAGACAACCAAATCATCACCTCATAATACACAGACTTGCATGGTATAAGCTTCTGTTTACATGATTATATGAACAGTCAGTAATGCAAATGATATCTAATGCAAAAAAAAGTTGAAATAGAAAAATAAATACAAATGATGAATTTGTGCCATTTATGTATTCATGGTTGGCTTGTGACTTGTAGCCAATTGTACAATCATGTGTGCTTTGTGTTTGAAGGAGTTGCTGAAGCTGTGGATTCGCCACCAGTACATAGCCGACCACAACAAGGAGAAGTTCCTGGACAGTGTTTGGGCTATCGCCAAACTCTCCCTGTGTACACAGCAAATCCTGTTGCTTGTCAGTGGGCTGCATAGAGAGGTATGTATTTGTAAAGAAGATTGTTAATTAAGGCTCTACTGCCAAAAAGGGTCAAGACCTTTTGCCATGTTGCAATGTCCCTCTGTTGGCGTTGTTTGAACATTCTAAATGGCTGCCCTGGCCTTTCAATTGTTTATACACTTTCAATTTCTCAAACCCAACCAGGCAAATCAATTTCTAAACAAATTAGACATGAATAATTTTCTCATGATTGTGAACAGGTGCTTTTATATCACAATCAGGTTTGTTTCTCTATAATTACCTGAAACTCTATTAAGTGGTATTGACAAAATGAAGTGATGTCTTGAAAAGCTGTACACCTATGAAAAAGATGATGATTACAATCCAGTTACCTTATGAACGGTGATTATTTACCTCAAATTAAAACAGTAGTAGAGAGTACCTTTTACCTTTGATCAAACTGATTTGGCCCTAAATGACTCGCATTGGTGGTAAGCTGTGAATCAATACAAACAAAACAAAAAAGACCAAACAGATGATATGGCAATGACCCTGTAGTGTCAACAAAAATGAAAATATTTGCAACTTTTGTGTTTTGATTATTGCAGTGTGGCAATGAGATGATCCAGCTGTATACGGACCTTTGTGTATATGCCATCAATGTAGACAAAGGCTGCTGTGAACAACAGATGCTGCAGGGAAACATGGAGGGTGTGAAAGATCGACAACATGCCATCGCACAGACCTGTCGCAAGTTATCCGCACTGTACAATGGGCTCAACCCAAAGATATCTCGCATCAGTTCACTGACAGCCTTCTCCCTTGATGCATCACTGGTGAACCTGTGTCTGGTGGAGAGAATGTTCAACAGGAAGTACTGTACTCATTCCAAAAAGGAGTGTGCTGCCTGTATCAAGGTGTTCAGCAGTGTGACGCATTGTGTCGGTGACGTGAAAGTTAACCCAGCTACATTATACGAGGTAGAACGGTTGCTCAATATGCTGAGGCCGTATTACCTCAATCCAGACTTAGCATGGAAAGAGCTTTTACCTGTGTGTCAGAAATTCATGAAGGAAAGAAGTCAGTCTTCTTCCTTAGAGACGAAAGAGGAAACCACCCCTCCAAAAACACCCCCAAAAAAGAAATCTGATTCGAAACCCAAAACAAAAAAGTCTTCAACTAAAAAGGAGATGAGTGTTTCACCAGGAAACATTAAGTACTACTGTGATGATAATGTGTCATATCTGCCAAAAGAAAGTGTTCCAAAAATGAAAAATAAAAATTTCAGGATGAAATTAGCAGCGCCCAGTTCAAATTCATGTACTCAAACACCAAAACCTGATGACTCTAAAGCCAAGCCACAAGCTGTTAAACCAGCAACAACACCACCCAAAGCCAGTACTGTGTTTGAGTTTGATAAACAGTTATTTCAGTATAATTTCAAAGGAAAACAAGCTGATTCTGGTTCATCTGCATCATCCACTGTTGTCAAGGAGCAAATGTCACCAGCAGGGTCTGAACTTTCGAACAGTTTTGCCAATAACCACCCAAAGACACCTACACAGATCGCCAATTTGAAATGTCAGGCTGTTGGGGTGGACAGCCTGGGACAACCTGTGTTAGTGAAACTGCCAATCTCCGTCGGCTCACAAAGTACAGCCACCATACCCTCCACTGTCAGTGGTGTTGTAGCTCCTTCAGCTGCTAGGCAACGGACTATGTATATTGGGGACCCCACATCCCTATGTCTACAGTCTCCGAACCCGAATACAGGGTTACATATTGCTGGACAGGGGAAAATTCAAAAACCTAAAAAGCGACAGCCACACAGCATTGGAGAACTGTTAGAGGCTACAAGGACCATGCCTTGTTCCACTTCATCTAATTTCAATACTACTGCAAGTAATGTGACTAGTCCTAAGCCCGCTACTCAGCACTCTCTCCCAACGTCAGCAGATCTGTTAAGGGCAGCCCGTGATTATAACTTAACAATTGTACAGAAACCTGTAACTCCAAAGCCTTTCCAAACACAATACAGTACTGCTGATCTTCTTAGAGCTACGAAGAACATCCCTCAAAAATCCAAACCAGAACTGCAATCAGCCAGCAATCTGCAAAGCGCAAAGGACATGATGCAAGCAACAAAAGCAGCATTTGCTGCCTCGGTTCTTGGTTTTATCCCAAAGCCACAGGCTACCATTTTGTCTGAAGTGTCTCAGGGCATAGGGCTGACATCGTTACATAATCAAGGAAGTGTTGGGAGTGTGGGTACCTCAGGGTCAGAACTTAAACCAACCAAAAAACCCAAAGCTCTCAGGAAGCCTAAAACTGTGGTCCCAGGACAGGTCAACCAGAAGGCCAAGATAAAACAATTGAATGTTTCTCAGTGCAATAGTGTTCAGTCAACAAGCAATAAAACTCTCGTAGCACATTCCTACAAGACAGTCGATGGTAGCATATCTTTCCTGTCATCCAATGTTGCAGGGGCTTCCAACACAATACCAACCCTAGTTAACCAAATCAATGCCCAATCTCAGTCTCCTGTCCGTCCACCAGCTAATTCATACCAAGTGATTGCCAACGATAAATCAAACCATCGTCCACGTATAATTCCTATTCGGGCTACCTGCAACAGCAAGTTTCCACCCTACTCCTCTGCGATCACCAGTGATGCCCTATCTCTGGGGCAAGTTGTGGGTGCCAACACAACGGTGACCACTAGTGCTGGTTCCATCACATCCACTCAAACACACAAAGAACATGACATCTACAACTTATTAACAAAAGAAAAAACAGTGGTGAAACAGTCCCCAACTACAGCAAAGATTGGAGGCTTTCGACGTCCGTCTGCAGATGAACTTCAGAGTATTGTTGATTGGCTACAAACAGGTACCGAGGATGACAAGAAAAAGATGCAGGTCCAGTCTCCTGTGTCAGCACACATCACAGTGTCCACGCAAGAAGTGGTCACTACTGTACCGTCTTCTGTCCAGAGTGGGACACCTCCATCTGTGGGCACTCCTACTGTTACCTCAGCATCTTCATTTGTCACGTCACCTGCTGCAGTAGCTCCAAAAGCTGTGTCATTAACTCAGGAACAGCTGCAGAAGATTATGGCAGGATTAAGTCAGCGACAGAAAATTAAACAAAAGTCACCCTCCCCAAATAAAGCGCAACAAAAGAAAAGTCTAAATAAACAGCTTCAGCAATTGTTAGCACAGGATATCAAAAAAGGAAGTCAATTAGTTGGAAACAGAAACAATTTTGTTCAGCAAAATCCTTTGCAGAAGTCTCACGGCAATAATGATAAGATTATTCAGTCATCATCATCCCACGGAAATCAACTAGTTCAACCTTCATCAATCCATGGAAATCAACTAGTTCAACCTTCATCAACACCAGGAAACCAACTAGTTCAACCTTCATCATCCCATGGAAACCAACTAGTTCAACCATCGATGCCAACAACACCAGGAATTCAAACAGTTCAACCATTGACATCATCAACTCCTGGAAGTCATTTAATTCAATCATCATTGACACATGGAAATCAGCTAGTTCAATCATTGACAACACCTGGAATTCAACTATTTCAGTCATCAACACATGGAAGTAAACTAGTTCAACCATCAATGACACAAGGACATCAACTAGTTCAATCTGCAACACCTGGAATTCAGCTAGTTCAACCATCAACACATGGAGATCAACTAGCTCAACCAACAGCATTTGAAAATCAGCTAGTCCAATCATCAATAACACCTGGAATTCAACTAGTTCAGTCATCAACAGCTCTTGGAATTCAAATACTTCAGCCATCATTGACAGATGGAAGTCAACTTATGCAACCAACAACTTCCCTTGGAAATCAATTAGTTCATTCAACATTTACACCGGGGATTCAACCAGTTCAACCATCAACAGCGAATGGAATTTTAGTTCAGCCAACATCTTCATATGGAAATCAGCTTTCATTCAGTGAAAATCTATTGGTTCAGTCATCAGCACCTCAAAGATATCAAGCAATTCAACCCGCACCAACACATGAAAATCAATCCTTTCAGCCAATACCATCTCTTGGTAATCAACTATCGTTAGTTCAAGAGAATCAAGTCATTCAATTTTCTCCAACACAAGGAAAACAAGCAGCTCAACCAGTACTGACCACTGAAAATCAACCTATTCAACAGTCACAAAACCAAGGAGTAGTTTCAGGAAATCCACTTTTTCAGTCAACAATACAGGGAATTTATGCAGGAAATCAACAGATACAGCCTTCCCAGTTCCAGGAGGTCTCTGCATCCATCAAACCACAGCTTATCGCTCCTGCCTTGACATTGCCAGTGAGTTCACAGGTGACTGTGAGCCAATCACTTTCAAGTACAGATCAGGTAACCAATGCTATCCAAACTATCAGTACAACAGGAATTCAGCCATCACTTAGTTTTCCTTCACAATTCCAAATCAGCGGGTCAAAATCACTGACGATGTCACCAAGTCAGTCAAATACCAGAGTGCTTGAGTTGCAGTATCTGGGACAGATCAATCCACCATCCAAAATTCTTCATCCAAAGCCGCCATCAGAAGATAGTTCTTTGGTCCTTTCTACAACGGCATCTGGAGACCCAGTCAGTCAACCAGGGAAGACCTCTGAACTTTTACCTGAAATGAATATAAAAGCAGCTTGTGAAATACAGGGATTAATGAAATCGAAACAGCCAACATTCATTCCAAAGACGATATCATCAGACGATGAATTAAACATACCTAAAATGCCTCTAGGAACACTGAAGGTTGTGGAAAAACCTGACCTCGTCTCAACCTTTTTTGGCAAGAACAGGAATCCCTCAAAGCTTAATATTGACAACAATCATTCTGTAGCCGTTGGTGGTAGTATTGAAAAAGTTTCAGCATCTATGGAGAAACAACAGCACAGAGCTGGTGAGCGTGAGCCAGCAGTGTCCAGTAGCTCTGATCATGATGCGTCTGTGAACAACACGCAGAGCAACACATCTTCCACACAAACTTTACCTTTGTATGGCAATACTAGTTGTAGTATGCCAACCACAACCCAAGTGCCATATCCTCAGAATGATAGAAAAGCTCAAAAAAACACATGTACTTTACAGGATCAATTTGAATCGACCAATTATGAGATCACCCGTGTTGGTGGGAATGCCAGGGACGTACCTCATGCCTTGGACACCCAAACCCCTTGTAGCAATACCACTTCTGAATTGAGCATTTCATCCAGCTCAGAGACTGACAAAGAGGTCAAGGGTACAGATGCGGTAGATACAAGTGTTCCTGTCAACAACAGGGAGAAGGTATTGGAAACCAAGTTGGAGAACATTGAAATATCCTCTGAAAAAGAATCAGATGTGTCATTAGGAATAGTTGATGGTACAACCTGTCCAGATTCAACTACTCGGACAACAAACAGTGATGGTGATGCTGATAACAACTCGACTGTAGTCAACAATCAACAAAGCTGTGATGATAATGATGTAAGTGTTCATTCCCTGGCCAATAATACAGATGAAAAGAATGATGTGAAATCAAAACGAGGGCAAGTCTTGGATCCATTTCCATTCAGTAATGTAACTGATATGGAACAAGCCATTCCTGGTGACATGATGCTACCTACTCCCAAAGGTGATAATCTGGCAGGTAAAAGTTTACCAATGAAAAAGGAAATGAAAGAAACAACAGCCATGGAGCCTACTGAGAGGCTGCCAGAAGTACGGGAACCTGAGGCACCCTGCAGTTCTAGTTATGATAGTGATCCAACAGGGATGAAAGGTGATCCTGTCAAAACAATATGCACTGCCTCAAACTTGTTTTCATCAGGAATGGAGGAAAACCCTGTGTTTATTAGAAAGGAAAATTTGGTAGAAGATAAGAGCTTGCCAGATTTTCAAAAAGTGACTGGATTAGATTCTGACACATCAAAACTGTCACAAAGTTTGGTCAAGGAAATCAGCGAAGAAACAGAAAATGCCACAAATGTGATGGAATCTTCATCTGATATAACAAAAACAAGCACTGAACATGTTGAGAAAGCTCCAATACCTGAGAGCTCCAATACCACAAGTGCCGAAGAAATGACTCCTAATGTTCCTGTTCATACTACAGTGAATGTTGTTACTCCCATTTCAACTGACAAAGACAGTGAAAGGAATGAAGTATCAAACGATGAAGAAAGTTCAGTCAAAGCTGACAATGAAGTGACAATTAAATCTGAGGAGGACATGGGTGGATTAGTGTTAACTTTAGATGATGCTTTAGGTGAATCAACTGCCTTGTTGTCCACACCAATTGTACCATGTGTTTCTACTGAGCCAACTCAACAGATGGCAGAGGATAACTTGACACCAGAATTGAGGAATTTAGTTTTACCTAACGAAGTCAAGGTTAAATCCATAGGGAGAAGTGATGCTAATGATGAAAAAGCCAACCCTGTGATAAAAACGGTGCCTACACAAGATTTTAGATTTGAATTTGAGTTGGACAACATCAAGAATGGCGAAGTTACAGAAAAAAGGTCAGTGGAGTCACCACCACCTTCACAGGATACTCTGGAAACAGGGAAACCTCCAGAACAGGAAAAGGAGGCTCCGTCAGATCCGATGAAAGTGAAAGAGGGTGTAGATGACATGGAAACAGGAAATAAACAGTCTTTGATTATAACTAATCAGGATCCTCTGGAAAAAGATTCCATTCCAACTAAGGGTTGGGAGAATGCATTCGTTTCTTTTATTGACAATTTGGGCGAGAAGAAGATGGTAAAAACAGACAATAGCAAAGTCCACATCAGACCAATTTTCTCCAGGCAAGACAGCAGTGGAAGTGAGTCAAGCTCCAGGTCTGTTGGAAGTAGTCTTGGTAGCCGTGGTAGTCACAGATCTTCTCTTGATGAGGAGAGTTCTGGGACAAGGATCCTTCCGCTTCAAAGGAGAGAAAATGATGTGAAAAGATATGAGTATTTTTCTTACCATTCATCCTCTCACAAATCAAATAGGAAACGGTTGTCCAATAAAGGCCTGTCTGGGCTGCAAATTCAGGCACTACCAGAAATTAAGGCCAAAAGTAAGCAGGCCATGAAGCTTGTTCCTGCAGCAGAAGCAACAGAGGTGCCTCAACAGAAGGAAGTTGTGAACAAGTGTATAATCTGCTCTAAAGTTTTTCGGTCTGTTGAAAGCTTAAAATGTCACGTACGAAACATATGTCGCCCCGTAGATAGTAGGCCGGATTCTAACCTGAAAGACTTTGAATACAGTACAACTTATTCGTGCCATAAATGTGAGAAAGAAGTATCCAAGAAGGAGGAAATAAAGGCACATGTTGCTGAGTGCTTTAAGGATGATGATGTGATCCAGTCCCTCAGTTTCAGCACCAAATACATGTGTCAGATGTGTGGGGAATACTTCACCAGTAAAGACGATGTACACAGTCATGTGTCTCGGCTGTGTAGTAAAGTAATGTCATGTCGCCAGCAGCAGCAGGATAGATTGGACAGAAAGACAGAACTAACAGCCAAGCCACTGGCAGACATGGTAGAAAGCTGGTACAGTAAGGATGAGAAACACACAGACGATAATATTAAGGAAGAGGTATTGGAAGAAGCACATGAGGAGGGTGAAGAGAAAAAAACCTTGGGTCTTGATGATTTGGAATCAGAAATATTTAACGAATCAAACAATCAGTCAAATGTAGATACCAAGGAGGAAAGCAAATCAAAACCGGTGTTGTCTAAGAAACGCAAGCATCAGGTCTCCAACATTAGTTTGCCTTCAAAGCAGTGGTCACTGAGAAACAAGACCAAATTCTCATCAAGGCTGAAAGGATTTGAATTTTTCACAAACAAGCTGAATCCTGCAAGAAGGAGAACAGAACAGCGAAAATGGCACGAGGATTACCATAGTCTGAGGAACAGAGTGGTCAAAAAAGAAGCAGTGAAGCAGGTCATTGAGGGTAAAGAAGAAGTGCAATCGTTAGAGCTTGATGGAAAAACTTACGCCAAGCACAAAAAAATCCCCAGGGTTGCTGCAAGGAGTGAATCGATACCAAAGAGAGAACCATCCGAAGATAATAAAGACAATGAAATCAAGTGTGGCGAGGAAACAGACTCAAATATGGTTGTTTCCTCGATGTCAATTGCTGTCAAGTTAGAGAAGAAGGAAAGCGACAACACAGAAATGCAGAATCACACTTCAGCAAAGTCTAAGGGAGCGCCGAAGGATGCCACTGATGTAAACACAATGAATCCGCCCTTAAGGCAGAAACGTGTCATTCAGGTGGGAAGAAAGTTCCTGCAAGACGAATTTGAAGTTCCTGAATTCCTCAAAATACAAGTGGCCAACACTAACTTAAAAAGAAAATCCCCACAGCACTGTCCAAAGTGTGGCCAGGTCTTCTCCAGCAGTTACATACTTATCCAGCACGTTGTCCGCGTCCACATGTCTCCATGCAAATCAAAATGGAACAGCTCAGCACGCAAGTTACAGTATCCCTGCTGGTACTGTTCTGACGCCTTTCCAACGTATGCCAAGTTTGCAAAGCATGTGCCGGTTCATAAGGACAAGATTTTGGCCATGCTCAAGAAGAACTGTTCCACAAACAGGCGACTGAGAAGAGGAACTGTAAACATCAACAATGTCACCACAAAGGCAAATGAAACCGGTATCAGTAAAACTAAGAACAGCATTAAATCTGAACCTGTGTCTTCTACACACAACGCTATTGTCCACAGGGATCCATCACCTACAAAGGAGACAGAGGCCCAGGCACTGTCGCAGCATGTGGAAAGTATGCGGACAAGTCGACGAGCAAGAGGACAGCCTCCTCTAGCTCTAGATGTGTCTGATTTGAAGGTTGAGACGGTGAAAAAAGAAAGAAGCCTATCCAGAGAAAAGGACCTAACACCTGTCAGTGGATTGGTGTCATCTGGTGCCTCGGTTTCACTGGGGACTTTAGACATGCGCACTACTAGAAGTAAAAGGCGTGACAACGATTCCATGTCAACATCAAGCTTTGACCATGATGACGATTTGGCTAGTAACTGTTCTCATGCCACTGACAAGTCTTCTCAGTCCAGGGGGAGGAGGGATTACAACAAACGGGGCCCCAGTGAAGATCGTGAATCAATGACTAGTGATGATTCTGTATGTCATCGTCCGGTCACTCGTCACCAGGGAGCAGCCCACATTTCCCCATTACTACAGGACAGTCATGGTACAGCCAAGAAACCAAAGCTGGCTAGTGGACACCACGTGGAATCTGAGCAGGGCAGGAGGTCAAGAACCAGGTCTGGTAATGTATTGCCTAAAACAACAAGTATAAAATGCAATGATGTGGAGGACAAGGGAATGTCAGATAAGCATCAGGCAGAAACCAAATCAACAAATAAAGTAGGTCCAAGTAAAGGCTTAGGTAGTCTCAGCACACGCAATCAATCTAAAGTAAGATCAGATAAAAAAACACATTTGAGTGACTGTGTTAGCCAGCTTAGACATGTCAGAAAAGAGGCAAGAACTGACCAAAATGTACAGGAAAAAGAAATTTTTGCCAAAGGCCCTGATGAAACGGCTGAAGATGACAGTAACCCAGCATCTAATATGACAACTCGTAGATCTAGACGGCTGAATAACTCGTTGGCAGATGAAAAGGAAGGGAATACAAAAAAGGAAAACAGCAGTAAAAGGTCAGTTGTTGATCAAGCTCCGGTGACAAGACACAAAATTGATGATAACAAAGGCAGTAATTCTATGGTGAATAAAAGTGTAACAAGTAAGGGAAAAATCAACACGAAATCTAAGCTAGCAGAGAAAGTGGCAGAGCCAAGAAAAAGGAAGTTTCCTGCAAAAGAGAGAGTCGATGACAGCTCCATAAAGTGTGTTAAAAATGAGATTGAAGTTAACAAAAACCAATCGGTACATGTGAACACTGTAGACCAAAAATCTGTACTGATTGTTAGTGAAGAAGATGAGGAATTTGTATATGTAAAATCACCATTGTCTAGTCCTAGCATGTCCCCAAGGGGGATCACTCCAGTTGTAAAAATTGAAAAAGCAGCACCAAACGCTAAACCAGTGGATGGAAAAGTGGATAAATCTGCATTTATAGAGAGTTTTAAGAAGTATATACATAAACCTGCACCTCGATGGACGCCTCCTTTCCCACTTACAAAGAAAAGTAATGTAACAAAGTCAAAGTTAAGACAGAAAGTGTGCCGTGCACAGGCTAGACTTCTTCAGAAACGGAGGAGGACCAAAATGGAATCTGCAGAATTTTCGTCTGAAGATGAAGCTGATGATGAATTAGATGAGGATATACAAGATTCTCAAGTGTCAAAAAAAAACGATGAGAAGAAATCGTTTCTGGATTCATTTATAGCCCACTGTGATAACGGACCACGACTGAAAGGATTTTACCCCAAAAATTCACCTTTCATTGTGCCAAAGGAGAACAGTACCGAAGATTCTTCACCAGAAACGTTGCCCAAGGAGAAAAAACCAGTGGGTGGTAAAAGGAAGCCTCAAGGTCAGGCATCCCAAGGTCATCAGGTGAAGAAGGAGGTGATCACCGAGTCCCAGAGGACCATTGCAAACACTGAAAGTAAGGTGCCAGTAACAGTCAAACTGGACGCTAGGCAAAGGTGAGACTAATAGAATCTGCAGTGGTTGTGAGGGAGATGGTAGAAGTTTATCTTAGATTTAAATTGTTCTGTCAGCTTCTGTCGGTAAAAGCTGATAACAACATATTTTTGGAACACTTGATTTATTATGCCATATTAAGAAGGATACTAAAAGTACAATTATACCATAATATTTCATAAACACATTTATTCAGATATTTACCAACTCCTCTTACACAACTTAAAAATGCTTTTACGTTTTTCTTCATCCCTACCTACAAATTATATATACCTAAAAAGAAAAAATATTAAAGTATTTTTGACACTCTTCAGATTCTATGAACATTTTTTTATTGTAATTTTCAATTTAAAATCTGAAGAATCTGTAGCCTATAGCATATATCCTTATATGTTTGTCTAGGGAAGGAGAAAAATGTAAATGTTACTAGGTATCTTTTGTGGCGTTGCATTTATGGAAAACAAGTTTATTTAAACCAGTGGTTTGTTATAAACTTACAGATATATGTCACATAGTGTTGACATTGATGTAAAACCAGAAATGGATAACAATTTAATTCATTAATTCTGCACAAAAGCTATGTCAAAAGTTGAGGAAGTCATCTAAGTTATGTCAAAATCTTAAGAAAATCCTTATATCTCTTTTTAATGTTGAGAATAGTGATAGAGCTCTATCAAGTTAGAGATATATGTAAAGCTCTCTAAAAGTTAAAGATAGCAAGAAAGCACTATTAGTAGGTCAAGGATATCTTTATGGCTCTTTTTGAGTTCAGATTATATCTATGAAGCTTTGTCAAATATCAAGGAAATCAGAAAAGCTCTGTCAAAGGTCAAGGAAATCAGAAAAGTTCTGTCAAAGATCAAGGATATCAACGAAAAAAGCAATCCTCTATTAAATGTTAAGGAGATACAATAAGCTCTGTTGAAGGTCATGGATGCCTGTAAATATCAAGGATGTCTAGATCTATAAAGCTCTGTTGATGGTCGAGGATATCCATAAATGACTGTGTCAGAGGTCAAGGATATCCATAAATGTCTGTGTCAGAGGTCAAAGATATCTATAAGGTTTTATAAGAGGTCAAAGATATCCATTAAACTCTTTTAGATGTAAAAAATATCTAAATAAGGCTCAGATTAAACTTTGTCTAGATATTAAAAATAATAATTATGTATCCTGATCTATATGCAACTGACAGATACTGTTTGTGCTCTGAAATTTTTACCTAGTATTGACTAAAAATTATTCATAGAGGAATTTTTATTAATCTCTGCCTACCATTTCTACAAAATTCAGCCTCTCAGTCTCAGTAAATACATTGTTTGCTCTAATCTAAAAGTCATATTCATCGCTAATAATTTGGAGAAATTTTCACACAACACATTCCACTGAAGGTACCTGTCAGATTCTATTACTCATACATATGTACTGCTGGTTATATAGCTAGTGTTTAAATATACAGTGGAATTACACGGCATGGTAAACTTTACTAATCTCAAAGTTAGTATAGTCATACCAGGTAATTAATGCTCACATTGAAAAGTACTATGATACAGAAAAGGACATGTGATACAAAAATGATGTTCTTGAATTTAAATTACACCATATTACAGAAATTGAAATTTTATTAAAGGATACAAATTATGTTATATTCAACCTAATAAGGACCATTCCCTTAAAACTCCCTCAGTCTTTTTTCTGGTGTGAGCCAATTTACTTGGGGGGAGGGGGGTCTTAATATTTTCTAGTCCTTTGGAAGATTTGGCAATCTTTCTATTTAACCAAATTGCACTCTTGGCACTTGCTTGGTCTAATATGGTAGGACTATTTTTAGCTCAGCTGGCTGAAGGTGCCAAAATATGTGAAAATCTTCAAACAACTTCTTCTCAATAACCAAAACGCACAGGGTACCGATATTGGGTCTGTAGCATGCTGGGATAAAGGGCTACCAAGTTTGTTCAAATGAATGACCTTGACCCACTTTCAAGGTCACAGGGGTCAAATGTCTTAAAATCTTCAAACGACTTCTTCTCAATAACCAAAAGTCCCAGGGTACTGAAATTCGGCATGTAGCATGCTGGGATGAAAGACTACTAAGTTTGTTCAAACGAATGACCTTGACCCACTTTCAACATAATGTCCTTGTTCGACATTTAAGGTCAAAGGCATCATATGTTTAAATATTTGAAAAGGTTCTGCCTGTGGCTGTATTTTAGTCCACTTTTAAAATTAAAAGTGTGAGATTAATACCAGGTGAGCGATGCAGGCCCATTTGGCCTCTTGTTTGTATTAACGATATAGCTAGGTACTGTATAAGCTTGTGGTTTTACACCAAAGTAACAGCTTAGATTATTAATGTTGAGAACTTAATCAATCTAGAACCACCTGAAAACATGGTTTCTGAACACTGAAAATGGAAATAATACTTTTTAGCTGTAATTACTTCCAGGACACTTAGATCCAGACAGACTTCTTGATCAAGAAAAGGGTATATTTTCTTAACTGTTATTTCCAGTTCAATTCGGTTTCCAAATAGTTCATGATCTAAACTTTAGGCATAATAAGCATTTATTATATATTTGTGCCAAACTACAAATTCCACTGTATAGCTATAGCTACTAATGCTTTTCATATACACATCATAACTTACATAGAAGATCTCCTACAAGTTTCCATTACATAGGGATGAAACAAGCTTCAGCAAGTTTCATAAAAAGAAGATTTAATGGGAATGTGTTTGAGATTATTCAACGAAGGCATGTTACTTTGTGCATTTTGAAATTATTTTGCCAGTTAAGTTCAAAGAAAAAAAACAGTTTAACATTGCCATATATTTGTGATGTCATCATGTTGTTCCTTGTGTTGCAACAATGGGCCAACATGCTACATACCAAAAAATATGTGATGATGTTAGTTATAACAACTCGTAACAACCTGTATATATGATAAATGTATAGAGCAGTGTGTGTATATATTGAGAGATAATTAATATTGGATATGAGCGAGTTAATTTTTACGTATAATGTAGGCTTCTCATCATCAAAATTCCAAGGGTTCAGCTCTTTTATGTGCTCTTGTAACCCAAAAATATCTCATGACAAAATTGTAGGCACGCAGTTAGCTATTGGATTGGTTTCAGGGGAAATAACCGACCAATCGCTAGGCTGATCTGTCCTTTGAAGATTACAGAAGAGAGACATCTCACTTAAAACCTGGTGAATTTAATATGTTATGCTGCCACATAACTCTTTTCATGTACATCAAAGTATATAACAAATCTACTTGTGTTGGTACTTGTTCCGTCCACAAGGTTTCCTACGTCATGAGATATCATTCCAAAGTGCAGAGAAATGAGCATTTCCCCCTTAAAATCCAAGGAAGCAGGCTTCTATATATGTATGTCTTCCCTTCGAATGAAGGGAGACATATATTGTATTAGTACTGGTTCTTCTTCTTCTTCTGTTTTTCTAATTGCAACTTTTCCGGGCCATAACTTTTAAACCGTTAAAGATATCTTGATGAAACCTTAGGTATGCATGCATCACCCACAGAAGATGTGCAGTGCACTGGAATTAGGTCACTGTGACCTTCACCTCAAGGTTAAAGGTGAAATAAGTGCAACATTTTCAGTAAATTCTTGTCCGGCCTGTAAATCTTAAACCGTTAAAGATATCTTGATCAAACTTGAAGTATACCTGCATCACCCACAGAAGGTGTGCAGTGCACTGGAATTAGTCTCGTGCTTCATTATATCTAGAGTAAAGGCCCTTTGTTTAATTTCAAAACCAAAGTTTGTCCGGAGCATAAGTTCCATGTTATTTCACCTACTTTGACCATACTTACCATATTTATGTATCTTGGGAAGGCGGAATCTCTCACACTTCAATCAGGTTTTATGCCCCACTATATATACAGAGTTATGGCCCTTTGTTTATTTTTAATACCGAAGTTTGTCCACGGCATAACTTCTAAACCATTAAAGGTATCTTAATCAAATTTGAATCAAATTTGAAGTATACCTGCATCACCCACAGAAGGTGTGCAGTGCACTGGAACTAGGTCTCGTGCCCCACTATATACAGAGTTAAGGCCCTTTGTTTATTATAAATACCGAAGTTTGTCCACGGCATAACTTCCATGTTATTTCACCTACGTTGACCAAACTTGCTATAGTTTTAATGTATCTTGGGAAGTAGGAGTGTCGCATTCTAAATTCGGGTCTCGTGCCCCACTATATAAGGAGATACGGCCCTTTGTTAATTTTTATATACTAAGGTTTGTCTATTGGGTAATAAGGGGAGACATATGTTTTTGTGGGGGAAAAAAGTTTCTAGTTTAAAGTTAAATTACAAGAATGGATATAAATTCTACATTCTCCCATACAATCACATCACAATGCCAGATATTATTCAACTCATTCACCCCTGAAGATACATTTGAACTCTTCCAATTCAAACGTTGGAATAGTTCATTATGAAATTTCAGAGGTGAATGAGTTAAAACAGAGTAATTTATTATAAAAAAAGGCAATGAAGGTATGGTATGTGAGAAGTATGATTTGTTCTAATCTGCTCCCATGCATAATGATACAACTGCTTCTCTATTATTGGCTGTTATATCTGCCACATCATGCATTCGTGTACTTAAATAAAGGCCCATTGTTAAGAACTATTTGTTAAGTGTTTATCAGGTTATATAAACCACATTTTCATGTTTCTTTATATATTAAAAAAGAGAAGCTTAGTTCATGACAAGGTTTCAATGTGTTGCATGTAATTCAAAATTAATATTTAATGTTTTGTTTCTAAAATTTAGCAAGTCTGAGTGTGTGAAGGGGAAGGCAGACCAACAACCAGCCGAGTCTAAAGACAAGGAATTAGACATGGACTGTTCTGAGGAGGTGAAAAGTATCACAGAGAGTAAGGATTGTAGGCCTTGTGCATCTGTTGAGCAGGGTAGCAAGTTAGACCCAGCAACAGCTAGGCCCACTTCATTTGAAAGTCTACAGACCTACATAGACAGTATGTCAAACTCGGCATCACCCACTCCCAGTGTCGACTCCACCACCTCCAAAGACACACATTCCAAAAGGGCTTTGAAGATTTCTAAATCCATGGCATCCACATTCCAGGATAGTTTCATGACTTATCTAGGTTCCAAACCAAAAAAGAGTAGAAAAACATCTGATGGTTCGTGTTCGTCATCAGAATGTGGGGATGTGAAATCGTGTAGCTCATCTGTGTGTGATGGAGACACTGGAGCCGGTCAAAAATCACAGGGACAAAAATCTCACCCCAGCAAACCATTCACCTGGGACATGGACTCTGGTGATGAGCGGATAGATCTATTGGTGTCCACGCTTGGTCGTGTGGTGACAGAAACATCAGAGACCGGTAGTAAACCAGACGTGACACGTGGAGCTGCATGTTCTGAGGAGGCACAGAGTGAGACCAGTGTCAGCGCCAGATCTTCTGTTGAACGCATTCTGCCCAACAAACATAGCCATTTAAAGACCAAAGTTCGTAGAATCTACCATGATGGAAAGATCTGGGAAATAGGGCATGGTTCTGTCAAATCTGTCTCAGTTGTGCAGCCTGATATAGTGACTACGGACAAAGTTCACGGCAGGGATAGCCCTGTAAGTGATATTTCTGACTGTGGAGAAAGTGACTATTCCATTAACAACAAATCAGATCCTGTTAACATTTCAAGACCTGAACAGCTGAAGGGAGATAATCGTATCAGCTCATTAAAATCTGAACACCATCATCTCTCAAAATCATCCAAGACAGAACAGAATGTACAGGCAAGTGTAGAAATGATTCGTGTGGACCGAAAACATGATGGAGGTGGGTTTGTTCGTCTGGACAAGTCAGAAATCGATCAATATGACAAGATGAACACATATACTTCTGTCACCCCTGAAGATATGGCCCTTAAGAAGACAGAAAACGTCAAGAAAACACCAAAATGGAAAGTCAAAACAGAAAAACGAACCAAAAGTTCAAATATGAAAGAATTTCCGTTTGTTTTCAAAAAGAACCGAAGGATGTGAATCATGAATGAGAACCAAACTAATTTTGTGGGAATATTACACTAACAAATGCATTGAAGTGAGGCCAACTGGAGGGAAATCAGTTTCTAGAAGTTACGATAAAAACATATAAATGTGTTGTAACCTTTGAATACAACCCGGTGTTGTATAATTGTTTTGTCAACACAAGCACTTTTCAAAATTGGTATGCTAAAAATGTCACAAAAAGAGAATCTACATTTTTCGGTTCATTTTTTGCAAAATTCAGAATAATTCAATATCAACTTGAATATATTTGATGATTATGACAAGCTACAATTACTACCTCAATATAACTGCATTATTTTTGTAATATGAGGCAACAGAAATTTAGAACTATTTTATATCAAAACAAGTGGAGAGCATTGCCTTATCCATCTGCTTTCAAATTCACAACAAACTTCCATATTTTTTTTAAGGCAAAAGAAATTAATAGTTGAATGAATGGAATTTTTCTAAGTGTATTTATAGTATCTCTTAAATATCATATTTTAAGGCTCTATTTGTTGAAATTTCAATAAGTTCTTTAGCAGATAGTAAGGTAGGAACAATTTAAGTTTTCAGTCAGATTCTCTCATACATATGTACTTTTCTTAACACTAGGCATGCTTAAAATCAATCATGTTTCAAATTTAAACATGAGAGGTTTTTCTCCATTGCTTTTTTTTCAGGTACACTGCCATATTTTACATACCAATGTATTCATGAAATCTTGTTGATTCTGACTTGTATGAAAAGTTAATTTCTAGAAAATATAATTACTCGATGACATTTTGAATCAAAAGGAGATTCCTGCTGACCCAAATATGTTATGCTTAATACTATGTCTGTGTTAACAGTTCTGAATTTTCCATTTACCACCAGTGAAATAAAATTCAAAACATTTAGAATAATAAAAAACAAAGAATGTATTTTGCACTTAGTTTGATTCTGAAGTAACACTGAAAAAACACAGATATGAATGTTTCACCTCTCAAACTAATAAATGTGGTCAGCTCAATTAACTGAACAGAAATATATTAGCTAATCGTGTAAGGCAGAGAAATTTTCCATTAATTGAGTATGTAAGCTTAACCTGAATCTAAACAATACCCAAAATCAGCAGAAATCTATCTTTGAATACTTTGAGAGCTAAAATTTGCAGATTACCGAGGTTTATTTTCAAGGATTTTCCCCTGGAAACATACACGGTTGTGTACTGAAATTAGATATTTGGAGTTGTTTTCCCATACAAACACTCCATTAAGTCACTAGTAAAGCTTACTGTAATCTCGTTTGAGTTGTAGTATAAAAAGAACTTAACCCTTTCACCACCAGTACTGTAGTCCATAATGGAATCATCCATATCAATGCATGGTAGAGTCTACTAAAGTTACATAGGGGTGATAGGATTAGTTAAAATAATTTAGAGGGTTATTTAAACAAAGCCATGATTATGGAGCGATTGTGATCGTGACATGTTTTTATACGGAATGAGTTAACGTAACTGGGAGATGTGCTGTGTTAATGATGTATGTCTGTGACATGTATCTATCTGATGTAATAGTACTTGTTCATTGTTTTGGAGAGATGTTATTGTGGTATGTTTATATAGAATGAGTTAATTTAGAGACGTGTCATATTGCTGATTTGTATGACGTATTATTCTTTTCATGTGGTCTTCAGTTAGAAACCGTTGTTTATTTCCATAGCAACATGATTGGTAATTAGCCATCATTTGTTTACTGTTTTCAGCTGTAATTCTATTTGTGGTACAGCTGTTTTGAATGCAATAATTAGACAAAAGTTGTGGGAAGTTGCATATTTGTGAATTTTATTTTTTTGTTAAAATTCCAAATATCGACCATATCAGGCTGATTTACAAGTGTGAGTGAGAGAAAGTGCAAATGAAAAAGAACAAACAAAATCAGGAGTGAGGCATTGGCCCTGCTTCCTGTTCTTTATGAAAATTCTGTCATATACTGGACAATTTCAGCTTAAATCTGAAGGTAAATGTTGGAGGTCAATTATTCTAGGTGTGAATATAGTCACTCCTATAGTCACAAAAAATCTTGCCAAGCCAATTCGTATTCATCTGACCATTATTTCACATCATTGGATACCCATGATTGATTGGATAATTTACCCCTATTTAAATTTTCTTTGTACATTTCATTCATACTTAGGCAGGGTACATTTGTGCAATCAGTTGTTGGCATTCAAATTTATGACTGCTTCTTTATAGGAAGTTATTTGTGTAATGTAATGTATATGTAAATTGATGTACAGTAAGTAAGCACATTTGTAAGGAACCCCGGGACACCAGAGTAATTAAATCAAGTCTTTATTACTTTGAGCTCTACAGTTCATCAGTATTTCACCACTGCCATAGATTGTGGTCCATGAGACAATTCATTGCCAAGAGACAGAAATGTTACTTCATGATCAAGAATTCACATTAAGCATGTTGTGACACTGTGTCAGTGTTGAAAACAAGACTATTGCATCATAAATGTTCATTTGAAAACATTAATTGTGGAATAGCAGACAGATCTGAATTTGTGTGGATTAAGCTATATCAGACTGTTAAAGGAAGAAAAAACCTGTAGAAATACAGTTGATTGTCTTAGTGTGCAAGTAAAGAATACATGACATCTGCTGATAAGTGTCTTTGTAAACATTACTAGCCTAAAACTATGTAACAAGTTTAGATGTAGTGGTGAGGACTATATGGAGGATAATAGGAACGTCTGTTATGTAAATGTGCTGTCATCCTCAGAATTCCAGGGGCTGAGCTCTCTTACCCTCTCTGTACCCCTGGAAAATGTCATGACCAAATTGGCAACTCTGTACACATCTGAATGATATAAGTAGTCGAGTTCGAAACTTTGATGTACGTACAAGGATCCACATAGAAGAGTAATAGTAAAAAGTTGGGTGTAATCATCAAAGTACATGTACCAGCCTAGCGATTGGTCAGTTTTTCACCTGACACCAATCAAACAGCTAAATGCTTGTCCTCAGTTTTGGCATGACCTATTCCAGGGGTGCAAAGAATGAAGGTGAGCATAACCCTCAGAATTTTGAGGATGATGTTCTTTTTGTAAGTTTAAAAAGTAAAATATGAATGGAAAATGGTAATTTTTTTTTTTTATCTGCAAGTTGTATTTAAAGTATTATGCAAAACACATGTTGTACTTACTTTTTATCAGTGCTAAGTATTAAAAGATCGCTGAAATCTTGTGATGTTAACGAATGCATATAAATATGTTCTTCTAAATGCAAAGTGTTTTGTATAATGCCTATATATTTCAGTTCAGTATCATATTAGCTATCTTAGCTATAAACAATAACTTATCCCTACTGATGTGTCGGACCTTGAGTCATAAAAATAAATGTCTATATAGGAAAAGGAGGAAGATGTTGGCATTGCATGAAAATGACATAAATATGCATTCCCAGTTAAATCCTTTGATTTATGTTGTAAATACTATAAGAACTTTTTGTTAACATTTTCAAAAATGGCAATTTAATTTTTCGTATTTTTAATGTTTTTGTAAATATTATTGACCGTTCAGTAATTATGTGTTTAGCAAAGCATGTTTTGTATTATTATTTTTCATAAGCTTTGTTAAATCTATGTGCCCTGTAAGTAAGCATTCATCTTTTTGATGAATAAAATTTGCTTTTATATTATGAGAGAAAAAAAATTGAATGCCACATGCCACTTACTTGAAACTTAAGCATTAAAGTATAAAATGATACATTGATTTCTTGTTTGGTGTTTTTCTCACCTTGTTATATTTCTTAACTTTACATTTACCATAGGAAACATTGCTCATTTAAAGGAAGTTTACTGTAATGTTTTTTCCTTTATTTATAAATTCTGTTTTAACTTTCCTTAGACAGGGCAGGGGGAATCTGATTGATGTCATAATGACATAAAAAAACCACCCAATGTGTTTGGCTTTGCTTATAAACACCCAATGCGTTTGGCTTTGCTTAGAAAAAGAAGAAAAAACATTCTGTCTATTCATACTCATCTAGTATCTAGCCCAGCGCTTCATCAGCTGATGGGCTGTTCAAATCCCTTTATGTACATGGTCAGGCATCCATCAATCAATCAGACAGCCTGTTAACAGATTTTAGCTCGCCTGTCCGAAGCACCATGGTGTCAGAACTTGAGCTTTACACAGGGATGGGGAGGAGAGCTGTTATTCATCACCTACAATGTCTTTAAACAGCTTCTTCTGCTGCTAATAAACCTTCACCAAACACTAGAAGCATCCCAACGTAGCAGGGATTCTGACATGTACAAATAAAGAGGCTGACCACGGAAGGGGCCAAACAGGGGTATTGTGGTCGTATTGCTGCTGCAAACGACTCTTCTGGAACTGCGAGATTGATATCAGTCGTATTTGGTTGGAAACATTCTCAGGTTGTTGGAATTCAAAAAGGTACATATTGATTGCTGAGTTGCAGGGGCAGGGGTATAACCTGGTAGCAACAGTTGAGATCCCTATCCTAAAATAATACAAATGTTTACAGGGTCTCCAAGAAAGCTGGGTCCACGTCCCGAGGCTGGGTACATTGGTGCTCAGTGCGTATGTGATCATTTCGGGGGTGTGATTGTCGCGCGCTGGGCGTCAACGTAGCAGAAGGCTTTCACAGTAGCTCCAATTTGAGCCAACCTGTTTGCCGTGGGTTGCGTCTCGTATTCCTGGGGGAAGAAGATCCTGGTGGTTGAGCAGGGGTCGGAATCACTGATGAACTCTGGATTGGAGGGAGACATGATCCGACTTTCTGCAACATGCTACTTTGGCTTCGGACTCTGGGAAGTCGAGAGGTGGTATGGGCCCTCTATCACCAATCGGCTGGTCACGCCGAGCCCTTGGTTTACATACTTCCAAGAAGGCGGTGGCTTAGGGTCAATCGCGAGAGTATGCTCTTCCGGGTAATATATATACTCGTTATGTATACTTTTACGAGTATACTACTTTGTGTATCCCTGACACTTTGGCGCTGGATATCCGCGCTGATATTAGTGTCCCCTTGTTGGGCTCCGGGGCGGGCGGGGACACAGACAGTGAACTAATTAATAAACATACATGGGTAATGAAAAAAACACAGAAAAACACCCTACAACTACCACATTCCCACAATTCATCATCATGTCGTCAACCACTAGTGGAAAAACTGCAGCAACATTGTCTCCTCTTCTGTTGAGGAAGGGTATAAAAGGAATAGCTGGGGACGTAAAGTCCGTCAAACCTTTGGGATCTGGCGATCTCCTAATCGAAGTTTTTCGCAAACAACAGGCGATTAACCTACTGGGTACCACCAGTTTTGGAGGTATCAGTGTTATAGTGAAAGCACATCCATCACTAAACAGCAGCAAGGGGGTAATCAGATGCCCCGCCCTGCGTAATGACGCTGATGCCGCCATACTGGAGTACTTCCAGGAGGAGGAGATCCCAGTCTCTGAGGTGCGACGGATTTTGTCCAAGAAGAACAACAAGTTGGTTCCAACAGACACATTTGTACTGACCTTTGCTACCCCATCACTACCTTCGGCCGTAGTGATTGGTTACCAAAGGTGCAGTGTCTCCGTCTACATCCCTAATCCATTAAGATGCCGTAACTGCCAGAAGTACGGACATCATGAAAAAAGATGTAGGCGGAAGACCGTTTGCCAGTACTGTGGTCGTGAAGGTCATGAGGACCAAAGCGACTGTGATATTGCCAACCTGCGTTGTGTTAATTGTGAGGGAAAGCATGCTGCTTCGTCTCGAGACTGTCCTGCCTGGAATCGCGAGAGAGAGATATTGCGGGTCAAATTTACCCGAAATGTCTCCTTCCCCGAGGCTAGGAGGATAGTGGAGAGCACGGACGTGGCTGCTCCCTCATATGCACAAGTGACGAAAGTCCGGTCGCCGGTTGACAGTGTCGCAGTCAAGGATGCTTCAGTTCAAGTATCTGCAGACATACCTGCCTGGGGCTCACAAGTCCCAGACATGTCTGGCCAAGATAACTTGAAAATCCTCACGGGAGACCCATCTCGTTTCACGTCTATACGAAAACCAACCAAAAACAACAAACAGTCAAAAGCAGCATCACCATCAAAACCAGCATCTTCATCAAAACCAGCATCTTCATCAAAACCTGCACCACAATCAAAACCAGCACCACAATCAAAACCAGCACCACCATCAAAAACACCTTCCACTTCAGGAGAAAACCCTTCAAAGGTTGGCCCATCTAGGGCACATGTGCGTTCGCAGCGATCTCGCTCACTCACATCTGTTCCTCGATCCCAACTGAGACCAGAGGCAACATCACCTACCAACAGACCTAGGAAAAAAATTAGAATAGCGAGGGGCAAATCTGAAGGACCGGATCTGAATGTCACCTTTGGCAAAGGATCAGAGGACCCGACAAACCGGTTCAATGTCCTACTAGATTTCGATGATGAGATGGAGACGAATGCCTCAGCGCTTCGTGCTTCGACTCCATCGAAATCCAGCCAAAATAGCAAAAGATAAATAATACAATTATCCAATGGAACATCCGCGGATTAAAGGCAAATATAGAAGAATTTCAGAATCTATCAAAAGAATTTAGACCCGCCATTTTTTGTCTACAAGAAATCATGCTCAAAAACCCAATCACGCTTAGAAATTTCTCACTCTACACTAACATTCCAACTGTAGTTAGCAGAGCAGCAGGTGGCGCAGCGGTAGCTGTCCATAAAAATATTCCTCACAGAATGATCAAGTTAAACACAAATTTACAGGCTGTTGCTGTCTGTGCAACATTACACAGACAAATAACCGTCTGTTCAATTTATCTCCCTCCGAGTATTGTTTTCACTTGTGAGCAACTCAATAATCTCGTCTCCCAGCTCCCAACACCATTCATAATCCTCGGTGATTTTAATGGTCATAATAGCCTGTGGGGCTCTCCCAACACAGACGAGAGAGGAAGACGTATTGAGGAATTTATAGATAAAAACAACTTGTGCCTTTTTAACAACAATACCCCTACTTATTTACACCCTGCTACAGGCTCTCGTACCCACATTGATCTATCATTATGCCATCCATCCATTTTACTTGACTATGACTGGAGGGTAAATGATGATCTTTGTGGGAGTGACCACTTCCCAATTTTTCTTCAGAATATTGGGACTCCTCTTGATGATCCTCTACCTCGATGGAATATGCACAAAGCAGATTGGGCCCAATTCCAACACATGTGCATTGAAAAACTAACCATAGACAATTTTACTAACCTCGACGACCCTATCAAAACTTTTACTGAAACACTCACTTCTATTGCCCAAAAGACAATTCCAAAATCCGCTCCAAAACCTACGAAGTTCCTTTTATCTGAAGAATCTTTTAAAACACGCAGTAATCGGGCAGCTGCTCTAAGACGCTACTTCAATTGCCCAACTGCTTCAAACTACAGTGAATTTAAAATTTGGCGGGCAAAGGCTCGGCGATCAATTAAAATTGACAAAAGAAACAGCTGGAGAGAATATGTATCCAAGATATCATCAAACACGTCCTCAAAAAAAGTATGGGATATGATTCGGAAAATAAGTGGGAAAAAGAAAAAGGCAACATCCTCCCACCTCATTAATAAAAACAAAATTTTCTCGTCTATAACTGAAATTGCTGATGCATTTGCAAAAAACATAGCTAAAAACTCATCCCCTTTAAACCACTCCCAAAAATTCCAGTCTTTGAAAAAAAAGAGAGAAAAGAAACGGCTCAATTTCAAATCATCAAACAAAGAAAGTTATAATGAACAATTTACCCTACCAGAACTTGTTGATTCGCTTAGAAAATCACAGGACACTGCTTCAGGTCCTGATGATATTCCATATCAATTTCTAAAGCACTTACCGGACTCTTCACTAACATGCCTTCTTTACATATTCAACCAAGTTTACGCTTCCGGAAAGATTCCCGATTCGTGGAAGAACTCCACAATTATACCTATCCCAAAACCGGGAAAGGATGCTACTGACCCAAACAACTATCGTCCTATCTCTCTGACTAGTTGTGTATGTAAAACTTTAGAACGAATGATAAACACTAGACTGGTTTGGTTTCTTGAGGCCAACGATATAATATCCCCTCTTCAAAGTGGCTTTAGAAATAGAAGAGGGACAAATGACCATCTCATCAGATTAGAGACGTTCATTCGAGAGGCTTTCGCCAAGAAAGAACACCTTGTCGCTGTGTTCTTCGATCTTGAGAAGGCCTATGATACTACATGGCAGTATGGCATCATGAAAGATCTTCACGACCTTGGCGTACGTGGAAACCTTCCCAATTTTATATCTAATTACCTATCAGATAGACACTTCAAAGTCCGTGTTGGTTCAACTTTTTCTGAAACGTCTAAACAGGAAATGGGAGTCCCACAGGGTGGAATCCTATCAGTCACACTGTTTGGTCTTAAAATCAATGATATAGTCAAATGTCTTGGTCAATCAACAGAAGGGTCGTTATTTGTGGATGACTTCTTGATCTGTTACAGATCTAAGAACATGCACACGATAGAACGACAACTTCAACAGAGTTTAAACAAACTACAAAATTGGGCAGACGAAAACGGCTTCAAATTCTCTAAATCCAAAACTGTGTGCATGCATTTCTGTCAAAAACGAAAAGCACACAATGACCCAAATCTAACACTCGATGGCACTAGAATTCCTGTTGTTGAACAGACTAAATTTCTCGGCCTCATTTTTGATTCG